AAAAGCGGTTTAGCCCGTTTTCCCGACTCCTGCGTTGCTTGCGTCGCTGGACATTCTCTAGGAAGTCGCGCCCTTTTGCAACTACATTCCGAGAACCACTTTAACGAACGTAGCAGAAATAAGCTCTGTGAAAGTCGATATGAAGAAAGAAAAAGAAGGAAAAAAGAATTACGCTGCTTTGTAGCGTCCCTGTGCACCTGCTGCTGCGTGCCCTTCACCGTCACTTGTGCCTGACAAAAAAAGAAGCGCTGATTTCTCATTCGAAGTTGCGATGCAAATGAAAATCGAGAAAGCGGGAGGGGGGGGGGGGGGGTATACGCGGAAGAGATAAGCGTTATGAGGGAAACGTCTTTCAAAGACGGCTAGGAAATGAATATCTGCGGACGCCGCCGGGCTGGCGTGCAGAAGATACGTGGCGTCGAATGCGCTGCCGTATACAGTGTGCGCGGTTGTATCCCTGCACTCTCACCATCACTGCAACATTCACCGGTTTTTTATTTGGTTGTTGGATCGTGTTTACAAATCCTCCTCATGCCAAACATACGCGTAGACACGATGAGAGCAAGTGCGCATGAGTCTGAGAATCTTGGTGCTTTTGAAGTGCGGAGCACGTTAGGAGGCCGAGCTGTTGTACGCTGTCACGCGCTGTCATGTGCTGTGATCTTACGCTGTCGCCATCACTTAGCGTAACGCCCCATGTTGGGGTTTAACCTACCAAAACCACCATATGATTATGAAAGATGCTATTTCGACCACCAGAAGTCATGTGCCTACAGCACAGGCCTCGGGAATTTTCGCCTCCATCGGCATTGCGGCCGAGATTCGATCCCGCGACCTGTGCGTCAGCAGCTGGAAGCGCATGTGGTGTCTTGTCTTCCTTATTGGGTCCTTGTTTGCACGCCTTGAGATTTAGAATCAAATTCTCGTGAAATTGGTGATACTTGGCCGCTTTCTAGTTCATTCGGAAGATCCTCGGAGCGCGAAGCGCCACATATGTGTGACCAAAGGGAACGAAAAAAAAAAGCATTCGCAAACACTCGAAACGGTCGCGGGCTGTCAGGGAGGTGTGTTCGCCATCCACAATCCCGTTGTTGGCGCATAATTACGTGTGCGTTCAGAGAACGTTTCGTACACAAGGGTCTGGAGTAGCGGCGTTCACATTTCGAACGAAGTTGCAAATTACTAAAATTGCAGCTTTTCCTCGTGCAAGATGATTAGAGGTTTATGTATTCCTCGAGAAAATTAAAGTGCATTAATGTAATAGACAGGTAACTATTGTTTTTAGTGTACCTTTAATAACTCGGCCTAATAGGTTAACTTGTAGAGTTTTTCCGGTTCAGTGAATTCCGTATTAATCCAAGTTTATTGCATATCTAGTTAAGCTGAAGTTTCTGCGAGAATATTGGGTTGCGCTTTTGTAAACACGAAAGACGCGTACTTGGCTATAAAACGAACAAAGTATAGAGGACAGTCGCTCGTTTTACGTACGTGTCCTTCTCACTTACATAAGTCATGGATCAGTACCAACTCTAACCTGATCTGAGGGTTTTCTAAGTGTGTAGCTTTTTTGTGTTATTTCTTTATTTACTTTGGGCCCTGTATTCCGGATATCTCCAAGCCTGTTTCACACGTTCAATCATTATCGTCATCGTATGAACCATAATAGTCATAGTGATTGCTAATGTTGATGACGATTGGAAAGCTGTAGTTCTCTGGTATTTATTTATACAAATCTGGTCTCAGGCCACCTCGTTCATGCTGGGATATCCAAAGCCTGAAACCTTAAACAGTGTCCACTTACCCGCCATCATTCCACAAGTCCCAAATACAAAGCATTTCCAAATTTTATTCAGAAACTTAAGAATTACTATAACACTCCCGAAGTATTCCTTTCTTTGGGACGTGTTCAATGTACTACTGCAACGGGAATGTGTGCTTAGACATACGCGACTTTCTTCGTGAGCCAAGTCTGCCTTGTTGATATTATTCCCAATCAAATGTCAGAATTGCTCCCATTTTATTGTGTTTCATATTATTGCCATTTGTATGGATATGTAAACTAATTAATCTTCAATTTTGTGTATAGCCTAGGTGACCAATTCATTCCTTATTATTTGTCCTAAATAAAGGTGCTCCCCTTAATTCCGAATTTTAGTCGCGAGGTCGTGGCGTTCACGAACACCGGATTCGGCAGGTTTGAAGGACCACCCGGCGTTTAAAGGCGAGGGAGTCGGTTCCTTCTCTTCGTTGCTGCCTTTTCTAAAGGTGGCATTTTTTCCTGGCCACTTATTTCCTAAGAGCACTTGCGCAATATCAGCACTAAGCGTTGAGCAATCAGGATATCACGCGTGTCTGCCGTTATCTCCGCTTGCGCAGCCGGAAACACACAAGATGAAATGAAATCAATTGATCGCATTCGTGTGAGATAAGAAAGAACGAGTGGGCGTCTGCATGCAAAACAGTGCAGAAGACCATTCACATTTGAGATTTTACTTATATGGGCCGATCAAGAGTATGATACAATATAGACGTCACAGGAATCAGTGTTCGTTCGTCCGGAAGTGTACCAGAAAGGCAAGAAAGGAAAGCAGCGAATAACAAGTCTGATCGTTTTCTTGTTTATTCAGAGGGTGGTGAATGACCCTTTAAAGCAAAAATCTTTAATTGGGCAAACTGGTGCCTGGAAACAGGACTCAAACTACAGTGATACACACTGTAGTGTAGTGAGAGCGGCGAACAGTGTGGTGGCCATCGATAAACTGACGACTTAAATGCGCTGAGGCGCGTCGGCGTTTATGCGTGTGGCATGGATCGTTCGAGCCTCATCACTGGTGCCCGCGTAAGTTCTCGAATAAACTTCACAACTGGCGTCCTACCTGTGATCATGGCTCAATGAGCTCAAACGATCGCGAAGCTTTCCGAGCATTGCAGCGCCGTCTGAGCCGATCATTGATAGCAATGAAACACGAATGCATCAAAATCTAACAATAAACGCGCCTGCCATTAGGACCAATGCCCGTATTGGATACGAGCCAAAAAAAAAAAAGGTACAAGCAAGCAAGCAATAAATGTCCCGTCTTGCTTTCCTTTCTTTTCTCGAGCGAAAATATTATTTTTTAGTGTCCATGTAGCGACAGGCAATCAAACAGCTGGCGACATTGCTTTTCACGTCCAGTCACCTACTTTTGTTGTGCGTCCCTCCTTGAATTCACGTGGCTTTCTCTTTTTCTCTCTCTCTAACTCTCTCTCCCTCTCTTTGCCTCCCTCGCTCGAGTTTTGGCGTTCCGCCGCAACATTGTTGACTTATGTCGCCCGAGGGCGCAACAGTTCATTTTGTCTTGCTGCATCTTCTAGGCAAAAAAAAAAAGTTGTTGGCAACCTAAGTCACTCTACGTGTTTGCCGAACCAACGCAGCCTGAGTACTTAAGAAAACCGAATGTTGCTGGTCTAACAGACGCACCTTCTATGCGTTGAGTCGTGGTGCTTGCTTCTTTTTTTTGTGTTATCATGTGTAGTGTTTATTTTAGGAATAACTTTGCTCAGAACATACGCTGAGTGAACCTGGAAGTTCCGGACTACTCAGTGCAGTGTGCCTGAAAACGTGGTTAACAAGCCACATAACCTCAACAGGGATGAAAGAAACAGCAACGCATAACGATCTATAACGATGACTTTCCAACGAGTTTACGCTGTCAATGGCAAAACAGCGCGACGGATAGGCGCAGGGCAAGACCAAATAAGAAAACAGGCACTGGCGACTGGAAAACTCTCACCTCGTCAAAATGACAGACGCGCATAAACACCATGGCAATTTTTTTTTTCAAACAAGAAAGAAAAAAGCTATGAAGAGCAGGTATGAAGTAAAGCGTCTATACAAATTAGTACGAGTCTGTTTTTGAGGCAACGCGTACCGCAGTTTTCGCTATTTTCCCAGGAGCAGAAAGAGTTGTGTTGTGGGTGTATTTTATGGAAATACCTAAATAATTACATAAAGTTGACGACGAAAGTTCGTTATTTGAAGCACTTTTAATAAAACTTCATATGTTTGCAGAACACCGACAGCCGCATCATAATCGGCAGCTTCTCCAGGCACATGGCTCGCAAAATATTCTGCGAGGTAAGTATAGTGTTGCTACGAAGTTTATGGGTACGGAGGCTGCAGTCGAACACCACAATAACGGAATCGCCGGAAAGACTTTGTCCTTCGTCTTTGTGGGAATTCCGTTATCGTAAGAACCAAGAAGTGCGTACACCAATTACTTCGCACAACCGAAATTTATTAAGAGAACTCGCTTATCTTTAGCTGTTTGATGTTGTCATGAAAGACCTTGACGCTTCGCAGAAAGCTTTGCAGAGCAGCTGCATCAATATCGCGAGTGCCGCGTAATGGTGTCAAAGACATTAAGAGCTTCGTGCGAGCTTACTCACATTTACTCTATTTTGCTGAATTCCATCATCATCATCATCATCATCATCATCATCATCACCTGACTGAATGTAAGCAGCAATGGTCTCGCCGATGTCTTGACGGAAACGTATAATTTAAAAGGGCTCTTCCTTGTTAACTGACTGGTGCTGCGATTTTCAAACTTCTGTGTGCCAAACTAACTCATTGGTTGAAAAATATATTATGGATCACTACCTGAAGATAGTTATAGCGCGAGAACAAAGCAACAAGAGACAACTATCGTCATGCCATACCAACTAGCCCAAGCTGCCACACTTCTAAGTTACACTACCTGAAATTTTCGTTATTGTAGAAGTGTCTTATAAAAGCTCTTCATTGTAGAGAGGTGCCAAACGCCTTCAACTTGAACGTTCACCGGGAAGACCAGATTTCTTCGCTGTCGTGAGATTTTCGTTCTTGAGAGCTTTTGTTATTTAGGAACTCAACTGTATAGCGAAAATTGGTTTCAGAGGTAGGGCTAATCCTTTTGTCTTAGGAATAGGTAGAACGCAAAATGGAAGTGTCTTTACGTGAGCCGTTTAATGTTGTTGCGCATTAAGAAGAACTTTCGTGGAATAAAACAAAAACGCCGATTCCATCGGACTCTTGACCATAGAACATTGCTCTCGGTATTGGTTCTACATGGCGCCGTTTCACGTAAATGCGGTCATATTGCGCTTGATGAAACATCTCCCTTCCGACAACTAATGTCGATGGCTGTGCGGGGCGCCCACAGTGTTGTCGTTCATCGACTCATAAGCATTCTCCCATTTCTAGCGTTGTGTCGTCGTGTTGGCCAATGGCATCCTGTCAACGGGTTGATTCGGTGAAGCTGTACGACCATTGCGCGACTAGAGGGGACTCTGGCGTTGCAATCGTTCAGCGACCATGGGAATGATGGGTAGTACACACATTTGCCTAGTCTTCGTACTTGCGGGCGGCGAATCGTACTTGCGGCTTCGTTTATTGCTAAGTACGGTTTTGTTTTAAAGAAAAGAATGAACCCTTTTGAACTTCGTCACCCGATTTGAAAAGTTAAGCTTAAAAGAAATAAGCTGGTGACGCGCAACCGCTGAACATTTGCTGATATTTTGTTTCGTGAGAAAACAGCTCCAAGCCATATACGAACACACACGGAGCCAGAAGCTGGCCAGAAGTACGAAGATTAGACAAATGTGTGTACTACCCATCATTCCCATGCTCGCTGAAGCGCCGTGCGTTGCAGCTCCCGTAGCCACTAGCGCCACAGTTCCCTCTAGTGTATATTATGAAACTCAGTGGTGCCAGCAACGCAGCTCCCTCTGGTCAACGGACGGTTCCACCTATCCCCTCAGCTGAGATGACATTACCGAAACGCTTACTGGCAGCGCTCATCAGCTTCATCACGTGGCCACCGACCTTCTTCATGCCGCTCCCGTACGGTGGCACTACCCCTGCCAACAAAAAATCGGCCCTGTATCCGCTTGTTACACTGCAAATGTCGTCGAAAGACGATAGTCTTGCGTCTAGAGAGAGTGAACAAAACGTTTATTTGATGTTCTGCAAAATAAAATTGGTGAATGGTATTCTGGAGGCACTGCATTAGAGTGCCTCGAGCGTGCAGCGGAGGCAAACGAGCGCACCGAGTCAGGTCACACGTGAGACATGAGCGCTATGCAAAATAACAAAAATGCCGACCAAGGTGAAATACACAAAACTTAAAAAGACGTTTCGGCTCCCCACACGGGAGCCGAAACGTCTCCCGTGTGGGGAGAAAAGGCTCCCGTGTGGGGAGCCGAAACGTCTTTTTAAGTTTTGTGTATTTCACCTTGGTCGGCGTTTTTGTTATTTTGCATTATGTTCGTCCCCGACCAGACGGGATTCCGTCGGACTCTTGATTATATGAGCGCTATCTGGCAGTTATCTTGGAAACTGAAGCGTGTGGCGTGCGCGCCCGTTTCGGAGACGATAAGGTGTAGAACGTAAGGCGACAGGTAGGTGCCGCCACCGTGTGTCGTCTTAGCAAAGGGTTGAAACGCTTGCCTTTTCGTGCAAGCGTTACATTGTCAGCTCAGCGTGATAAACGCCATGGTCTTTAGAATAAGTTGGTATGCGTTTTCTAGAGAAAAGACACTCATGCAAAATATTGTAGTGTTGGTATGGTGCCTCAGATATGCGCAATAATTGCTTTTTAATTGACAATCACACAAGTATGAACGCTGAAACTTTAGGAATATTGGTGGGCGCTGCAGATAGGGTCGACCGTTCGGGGTGTTTTTTTTTGTTTTTTTTTTGAGGGGGGGGTGCCGTTTGGGGCATTGTTAAGGGCGGACAAACAGACAAACCAAACTTTTTGCGTCGAAGGTCCCCAAGGAAGACTATCGACCTTAAAAACAGGGGAGGAGGTATATAAGACACAATTGTCAATCTACACGCCTCTGTGCGTGTGACGAAGTGGGACTTGGCACTTATCGTCGCGGACCAATATGTCGGGCTTGATTTGCAGGTCAACCAAACCAACTTCAATCTTTCTATAAGTTTTCTTTTGTCATCTGTGCGCATGCATTTCACCGACATTGTTCCGGTGACGGAGATGACGTCAGTAAAATCTTGGTGGGCTCCGGTCACGGTGACCCCGTCATAAAACACTTTCGTGATGAAAAGCTTATCGACCTACTTCAATTTTCTCGCATCGAAACTGCCAATCCTTCCCTTATATAGAAGATGTTTTGAATACTTTTTCTGTTAGGACCAGTGCACTGGTCCTAATAGGAGTGAGCGCTTCAACGCTCTAGCGTTAGAAAGGCGCCGCCATGTTGTGGTGCTTCTGCAGGAGCACCGTTATGGAAGGGTGTTGAACCAACGAAAACAATATAAAAGAAATGTGGAGGGCGTAGGGCCGAACCAAGGTATGGAACTGCAGTCTGTGCAGCTATCTTTACTGAAACTATATCAGAATTTCGGCTTGTTGGTTCACAGCCTTCAGGGGGTATAACAAAAAGGGGATGTCCACTAGTGAAAGAACAAGTCGCGCAAAGTGCAGTGCTTTTTGTGTGTTGCCTTGTTGTCCTTGCGCTTGTCGTTCCTTCTGCACTTAACACAATCTCAAGAACACTACTACAAAACGCGCCGACAGACTGTTGTTCCGTGACTAGTTGTTTTTTTCGTCGCAGGTGTACAAACAGGGCATGTATGGCGCCGACTTCCAGTGGATCGTGCAGGGTGGTCTCGGCGAGTGGTGGCTCGACCCGTCGGGCACCGACTGTTTAGCCGGCCAGCTTCGCGCCGCGGCCGAAAACATCATCACGGTGGCCGCGTACACGGGAAGCCTGCCCAATCGCGCCAGTGTCTCCGGCTTGGTGCGTACACGCTGCGTGGGTGACCGGCTCTGCCTCGGTCCGCCGCGCCGAAGGTCGCGGGTTCGCTCCCGGCTGAGGCAGTCGCATTTTGATTGATTGATTTGTGGGGTTTAACGTCCCAAAACCACCATATGATTATGAGAGACGCCGTAGTGTAGGGCTCCGGAAATTTCGACCACCTGGGGTTCTTTAACGTGAACCGAAATCTGAGCACATGGGCCTACAGCATTTCCGCCTCCACCGGAAATGCAGCCACCGCAGCCGGGATTGGAACCCGCGACGTGCGGGTCAGCAGCCGAGTACCTTAGCCACTTGATCACCACGGCGGGGCGGCAGTCGCATTTCGATGGAGATGAAATCCTTGAGGCCCGTGTTCTGTGTGACGTCAGCGCCGGCTAAGGAACGCCAGATGGTCGAAATTTCCGATGCTCTCTACTGTGGCATCACTCATAATCATATCGTGGTTTTGGCACGTGAAGCCAAAAATATTATTAGGGTCTGTCTTTATTTGTTATACCTATGTGGCAAGTGAGGACTCACGAAAAAGCAAAAGATGCCTTGTCCTCCTTGTTTGTTTCTTTGTTTTCCTTCTATTTTCTGGGGGCCTGGTGATGCGCTTACGGTAAAGAGATGTTACCAAGAACGCAGGACGCAGTGTTAACAAAACGAGCGCAAACTTCGGCTGGTTTTTTTTTTATTCATGGATATTTAATATAAAAAAATCGGCACATGGAAAAAGATAAGTACACTTGACCTCGGCTATGTGCCGTCCATCGCGAAATCAATTTCATCCGGAGAAAGCTTTATTCATGGCTCGCCGACGCATGTTCCGGCACCCAGGGATGACATGACAGCAGCTTCGTACACTTTTCTCTCGCTGTCGCCTTTCAACCGCTTCTTGACTGTTGTTTCTTCGAACATAGGTACGTATTCAAATCGGTTGCAGCGAGCAGCTAAACTCCCGTGAGGGTAACCTCTTCGCAATTACGCCTGTGTTCTCCATAGCCAAGTGTTTACACATGTCGAGGTCTCACCAATATATTTTCTCTGGATGCTAATGACAAATACAGCTGCTACTTCACAAGGAACAAAGCTATATTTATGGCCTATTCTACCTTCATTCCTTCTAGAGTTTCTAGTGTGTTAACTTTTTTTTACATAACCATATCAATTTCTGTGGTTCTGAAAACAAAACTGGCACAGCACGGTTTTGATGCTATTTTTAATATATACGACATTCTGTGGATGTAAGGAATAACCACTGTTCACCGCCCTCATTTATTTCTTCACTGTTTTTAGACGCATTACGCAGCACTTTTTCGACGATAGCCACGATAATGAAACGATAAAACCCGCTAGCTGTTAACCTATCTTTTGGTACTTTCATTTTCTTTGAAGCCATATGGTCACATGATTTAGATAGACTGGAAAAGACATACCTGCGTAAGACTTCTTTAAGATGTCGCATCTCGCGAGGCCCTTGTCACCTTTCGTCATATAGGCCCAACAACAGCGACGAGGTCTTAGGTACATTACTACATCGTGCAATTTGATCCATTCCAGTTCGGTAGCCCTGTCATCAATTCTAATCCTTTGAGCACGTCATGAAAAATCGTCCAGAACAGATTGCGCAGTTGTTCGTAACTGACATTCAGAATTGATTGATTGATATGTTGGGTTTGACGTCCCAAAAACCACTATATGATTATGAGAGACGCCGTAGTGGAGGGCTGCGGAAATTACATCCAGAATCGACGCACAAAAGAAAATTGTCCGCATACTGAAAGCAAACTGACACCTCATTCTAACCTTTGCATAAGAATACGGTCCCCTTTTGCCATAAGCGGGTTTCGACATATCAGGCGAGATACACGGTCATCTTGATAATGACATCGTGTATGATTACAGTGGATGACGCGGCCTCCAGCATTAGTTCAAGCGTATAGTCTCAAGCAGATTTTTGTCGAATTATCAGTTTTCTTCGCGTTTCTGCATGGGACTGGATGAACAAAGCTAGTCGTTCGGTACAATTGTCGTTGCGCACAACCACAACCTCGCCGCATTAGTATAGGTCACACGGTTTCTGCTGTCTGTCCGTTCTCGCAGTTTATGGGACCAATTTAGGCTCAGTGTGCGGAACGAAAGTACCCATCGATCTCGGTTGCGTCGCGGTCAGTGCTTTAATTGTGGTGGCCCGAGCTGCACAGTGCCGACCTTTTATTGTTGTGGTAACAACGCAAGGCTGGCGCACACACTGAGTGCCCATAAAAGCGTATGTGTCACTCCTCCGATATCACTCGCCCGTTCCCATATACCGCACGCACATATATGTGCCCGCCGGGGACGAGGGGGGCGATTAGCGGCAGCAAATTACTGCCCGGAAGAGTGGCATTCATTGTTGGACCAACTGCATGAGGCAGTGCTAATTGCGCGTCGTTAATCGGGCAGCAAATGGACGCCTTCCGGCGGGAATTGGATGCCGAACTGGAGTCCGAGCTGCGGTCGGGCCTGGAGCCACTGCCGGCCGGAGCGTCCGGTTACCGAGGTCACGTAACGCAGGTCTACGACGCTGTGTGGACCGCTGCGCTGGCGCTGCGGTCAGCCGAACTGCTCTGGGGAAAGGTGAGTGGTACGCCATTGGTGGAACCATCAATGTACTACACTTTTTCCAGAGCACTGTTTGTCATTAACTGGATACCTTCGTTGAATGCGGCATCAGGATGAGCTAAAGAAACACGTCCCACGAACGATTAAAACGTTAGAGGCTTTGCAAATGGGGACTGAGATTTGACGGCAACACACCAAGGTTTTAAGATGGGAAAACAGAAAGACAGCTGATGGGAGCACCGTCCATCTTCTGCATATGTCTCATTTTCAACCTTTGAAAACAGGTTACTCCTGTCTGCTATATAACACGGCAACAAGTTTGAGCAGCACTAATGAAAGGATAATGCAGTCTATCTTGTTAACGATGGCCTGCAAGATTTCTGCCTTTCAATGCGGCACCAACTTCAACCTAAGTGCAATAAGTGGAACCTGTTTCTGGCCTAAACTTGTTTCCAGCCTAATCGGCACAAGTAATTAAGTAAATAAAATGTACAGCATCAGAGGAAACACATGGGGAATAGACTCGCTGTAAATGGTGCACTGTAGCTGTATACTTGTACCCCTCACCGGTTTCGTCCCCGGATCGAGAAAACACAAAATGCCCAGCCCCTAATCCACAACAGACGCTCGCGTGCTTCGCTGCTGGCAATACGCGTGCTCCTTTCATTTTCCCCGCGGCCGCTATGGAAGGACATTCGGAGAGGTGAACGGACGAGCCCACGAACTCATTCGCTGTGTACTCGTGTACAACTGCGACGCGACTACTAAATTTCAACCTGCTGGTGATATAGCGGCCCTTTAACAATTGAACCAAAGGTCATATCTTGCTTTGAAAGCAGTCATACAGTACAGAGCTCAGTATTCATTTGAATGAGCGAAAAATTTAGCAGATCTCACGTACGTTGGGGGTTGACATTATGCAAATTTGGATGAAAGGTGACTCTATTGTAATTACTTATTGAGCGACATGTTACGTAATGATGCTGAAGATACGTAAAAGTGTGGCATTCACAAACATGTGTTGAAATGTCGCATATGTTTCCTTAATTCATTTGTTTGTAAAGGTTAAAGATATTCTACATTTGTTTACAGCAAGATGCATAGGTATTAGCAACATCACAAGCGGAGAGCTTATATGTAATGCTTGTGCTCGTGATGATGGCAGCCCTCGACACTGCTACATAAATCGATGTACGTTTATAGCATTTAACTACAATTGACGTTAACCCGATGAGATGGCTGCAGCATAGAAGTACATATATAAAGTATATAATATGGCCGGCATTGCAATCACAATAACGGTTCCCCAACATTACACCATAATAGCGTATTTACCTGATTGGTAGCATACCTGATTACCACGCAGAGTGCTTGGGTTCCATTTCAGCTGCTGCCCTGATATTTGTTCTTTGCATTCAGTCTAGTCAACGCTGCCAATGTCAGCGCTTTTCTTAACATTCTCCCGTTAAAATTGTCACTTTCTGTTTTGAATGAAAGAAAGAAGTGTACACTTTAGAGCTCTATTTATTTATTAGACACTATATAATGAGTTCTATTCGAAAATCATGGCAAGGAAAGTATACGGGATGTTACTAGGAGTTACTGTAAGGTAAACGTGAAGACAAAAATGTGGATGAAAAGGCAGCTTGCCTTGAGTGGGGACCAAGCCTGCGACCTTAGAATAACGCGCCCGATATTCTACTAACTGAGCTACCACAGGCGGCTATTTCCCGTTCAGTTTTACGAGGAATGCGCTTACCTTCATGGTTAACTGTAGCGCTGAATGACGTTCACCCCTTTAATGCGCATATACACACCGTAAAATGGATGGGAGAAAGCCACCATGGTAGCTCACTCGGTAGAGCATCGAACGTGTTATTCGAAGGTCACAGGTTCGGTCCCTGCGTATGGTAAGTTATATTTTATGCACTTTTCTTTCTTCAAATTTACGTAACAATTACTTCTGGTAACATTTCTTAAACTTATTTGACATGGTTGTCTGTTAGAACTCATTAAAAACATGAAGAGATCCTTCGCCTTTCAAGAGTTAAACGCGATAGCAATATCCTGTTCCCGGTGCATGGTTCGAACACTTAGCGCATGAAATCTCTGCAAACTTGCCATGGCCCTACAATGTAGCCTTAAGAGAATACGTGCAGTAATGTAGGTTCATTTTGTATTGGGTGACCATCTTTGAACCATGAAGTCATCATGACAATCACATCTTCTGACGCCCGATGGTGATGTACGCTTGTACTATACGCAATACTATTGCAATATTTTATGTATTATGAAGCATTTATTCCGGACGCGTGTGTTACCAAAGCAAGAGTTACTTTCACTGCATTCATAAACAGAGGAAGTTATTTTCACTGCCTTCACAAGCAGACACGTAGACGTGTGGTAGAACACCCTCTTGTGACACAAACGGCCTGGGTTTGAACCCCACTCAGACCCAGAATTTCTTGTATTTATTTATTTTATTTGCATCTTTCTCGATTTTACGGTCCCGCAGAAGATGATTTCTCGCTCACAACTAACGACGCCGACGCCGAAATTTCTGCCAACCTAGCCCTCTAACGCTGCCACGTTAATACTGTCTGTTCTCGTCGTTTTTATAAGTAGACATAAACTGTCAATCACTTGTGGAGTATACCCACACACTTCTGGGTATGTGTCATACTTTTGGCAGAAAAAGTTTGACGCCGTGCGAAACGGGATTTTCTCATTCCTCATGTAATGACCAGCGTGTTTATATTCGTCAAACCTCCACATCTAATCTACCCTCCCATACTAATTTTGGTTCATGGATGGATGGATGGATGGATGGACGGACGGACGGATGGACGGACGGATAGACGAAGAGAACAAATTCACCTTGCTGAAACTGGTCGTGAAACCCAAGGAGCGAACCACCCAGGGTCGACACCATCAGATCCCTAGGTATGTTCATCGATTTGAGTGGCGGCAACAGTACAACATTCCGTAAGATCATTGCAAAAAGAGACAACGCTCTTTGCCTCATGTCGAGGGTAGCGAAACGAGGGTAACGAACCTGCTTCGGTTTATCAACACCTTGGCGCTGTGTTGTTTTGCCCACATAGTGGCCATGCACAACTACCTCAGAGCAGAACGGTATAAGCTCAATGCCCTCATTAGAAAAATTATCAAGCGAGCGCTCGCGCTGCCCGTAAGAACGAATACCAAGGACCTCCTCCAGCTCTGCATTCATAGCACCATGAAGGAGATTACCGAGGTTCAGGAACGGGCCCAGCTGACTCGGCTTTCCACCACGCCGGAAGGTAGGCGAATTCTAGAGGAGATCGGACTCGCCTTACAACCCAGAACATGGCTGGTGTTATGATCGGCACATCCCTGACATGGCGCTGCTTGGACGTGAGACGGTTGAGGGACATCGCTCCCAGAGGTGAACCACAAGCGACACGCAAGGTGTACTTGGAATTTCGCGGTGGGGCTGCCTCCGCTCGTAGAACCCTTCGAACTTACCCGACCAAATGACGACCTATGAAGCGCTCTTTCCAGTCTAAACGGCTTAAAAAAATGGTAGTTATCTCTGTACGTCTTTCATCGTCGGAATGCCGTGTACAATAAGCGAAGCGACTGAGATCCATGTTCGAGATCGTTCTCGCGTTCTCTGCCATGCCACCGATTCCGTGGTCTGCCTGGCGCCGCATACCCATCACTGCAACGAACCGCCGAGTTCACTACCATGTAAGACTCAACCTCTTCGTGCTGTGCTGTATCATGCGTGCTGTGCAGTGTTTTCTCCCTCGCCATGAAACGAACTGGGCCTTCTTGTTTCCTCTTTCCTGGGTCGGAAAGGAGGCGGCGTTTCACCTTCCTTTTTCGGGGGCAGAGTTGAAAATGGCAATTTTCATTAGACTTTCCTGGCCTCCACTGTTTTTCTCGGCATAAATCCTGTGAAGGCCAGGACCTAAAACCCGACAAGCTCTCACAAGCTCCGGACAAGCTCTCACAAGCTCCGAGAAGCTCACAGTAGCTCGAGGGCTTTCATGATGCTAACCTCATCATGTAGCTACACGCTACCTGTAAACAATGTAAATAAAAGTTACTGTTAGCAGCTCCCGGCTCTTCTCCTCGACATCTCCCTAAGACTCTGGCAGGCTCCGGTCCTCAGGGCAGACCCCCGAACACATCACTGGTAACACATGAATCTCCAGAAAAATGGACAAAAAATCTCGTTGTCACTCTGCTGTCTTGCAACGTACAGTCCTGGTCAAAATTCTCAGGCCAAGCTTACATATAAATACATGGGATAGTGGCCTGAAAATTTCTGCCCCCGCCCTCACCCACCCCTGTACATTATGTGCACGACGCAGGTCGTCACAGGGCAAGTGCTTCGAAGATGCTAAAGAACATCAGCGCGGATAAGATCGGCGCACGCATGATAAGTGGACGCCGCCACGTACCGAGAAGGCAACGCCGTTGCGATTTCTCTCGTGGATTTGCTGGACAACATCATCAACTGCGCCTCGATTTGGAACAGATCCCGACGAGGCCTAGCAAGTGGTGATCACACTCTCTACTCAAGACTGGGAAGGACTGGGTGCACAGCGACTCAAAGATGGCCGTTAGGGCATTATAGAAAGACCACGAAGCCCGGCAGGTTGCGTAAATTCTGGAAGGCGCGGAAAACGCATTGGCAGCTCCACACACTACATCTTTTGGTTCCCTGCCCACGTCGGGACAATCGACGGGGTTCCTCTCAACTTCAACGAGATGATCTATGAGGCTGCGTGTGGTTTCACCGATCACGCTAGCCTCGTATCGGGCGATTTCCCCTCGCACACAGGGACGCTCCAAGTACTCACAATGAAAATCACTAAATTCTTTTATTTAGACAAAAAGATCTTCCCGCCACCTTATTCCAAACTGAGCAGGACGCAGACGATCTCGCTCAGAATCCCGCAAACTAATTCCTACCCTTATTCGATGACCCTCAACAGCTAATGGCCACACTGCTTTGACAAGTTTTGTTATCGTCTCATTACACATGCAAGTTCTGCCTTGCGCAAACCGCTACAATTGATTAGGAACCCTTGATAATCTTAGAATCTTGCGATGCGATTATGCGCCCAACACGAATATTACATATTCTCCTGAAATTATTCGACGAAACATTTATAAGTTACGACGTGCTTCTCCGCTTGCCAGTTTTATCGATGACCGACGCTCTGTGCGCCGACATCAGTGCACAATGCGCGCGGCTTCGTGTAGTTTCAGTTTTAATTTTACTCAGCCACTTTAGTTCAGTCAAATAGTTTCATTTTAGAGGCGCCTTCTCTGGGGTCAAACTATATGGGTCACGAAATTCGGAACAAGTGACGAAAACCTATTGCCACAGGCATCAATACCCGCCGATGATTGAAGTGCGAATACAGGTGGGGAGGTGCAAATAACAAAAACTATAAGGAAACCCGATATAATTTTTTGAAAATTTCGTAATTTTACATGAGTGAAGTTGGCTACACATTTATGTACAGTTTATCTGACACCAGGCTAAATGGTTGATTGCCTCAATTTTTGGTCGAGTGCCATATGTGGTGGGGGAGGGGGGCTTATCCAGGCAATCCATCAGAGTTTTTACTAGTACAATGTTTTCTGTGTTTTTGCATTAGTTTTATATTTATTCTATACCGACTATTATATATCATTCTTAAATTTTCGCTTACCCTGAGATGATTGGTTTATTTTTTATTGTTTGTCTTAATTTAAAAAACTTCCTGTTAGGTCAATCGCCGCTTTCGTTGCCAATCGTCCATAAAAACCAAGGAACAAGCAACCAAACACGCCGTTTGCCCCATCTTTCCGTCGGTAAAGGTGGCAAGTAAACAGTTCTTCGAATGCAGTATCAGGTGTCCTTACACACCATTATCATCAAGAAAATGCGTAGCCATAACCCTGCGTTTTAGCAAATGACCCCTTTAACTTGGCAAAGGGGGGACCACCCCCTTGCCACTCCCCTTTCCTCCCCATGTGCATTGCCTGTCTCGCAATCTCCATCTCTCCCCGTGCGCATTGCCTGTGTCGCAATCCCCTTCCCTTCCTGTGTTTATTGCCTATGTCGCAATCCCCATTGCCGTCCTGTGCACATTACTGATGCCGTAATCACATTGGATATAGCTGATAGCCTTTAACCTCCATTCCGAATTCAGCAAAGTAAGGTACGGGCTAGTTCGCCTTTGTATGATTGAAAAACGTCGCTACAGTTAGAGCAAAAGAAGTTAGGAAGAACGCACTTCCCGCTTCTCGCATCCATTTCGCAACGTGTGTCGTCCCTAACTTCTATTGAGATAGCAATTACATTTACAGTCTCGGCTGGTTTTCGCCACCGCCGCCATTGTTTACGTATATGCATATGTATTTATATATATATACGAGGAAGGAGGCACTAGCCTCCTCTTTCTGCGGAGCGAACATCGCCTTTCCGGCCGGGCTCGTCTGAGCGCGCGCTTATCTCGCCAGCTAACAGGGGAAAGGTGTGGGGGGGGGGGGGGGCTTATGATTGTCGCGCTATCGCGGCAGCGATCAGCGCGCGCCTTGTGCCCCCGTAGCAGACGGGAGCTTCTACGGGCTGCGCTGTCAACACCAACAGACGGTTCCAAAAGTGTGCCTGGAGCGGCTGTTTTCTCTTACAACAGCGTTTTGTAGAGTTACGTGAGATCGAACCTAAATGAGTTGACTGCCAGCCTAACTTCGTATATCAACGCCGTCACTACGCACAAGCCTTGTTGTGGTCATCTACTGTGGCCGCGCCGCAGGAAACTGGGTTACTTAGAAAGCGCATGTTTACTACAATTAATATTGCTCCTAGAAATGCTAGCCTTGTTTCGTAAGACATTCGAATAAGTTGCTATGCCAATCATTGCTTCGCCGTTTTTGGCAAAATTGTGATTTCCTTTATCTCTGTAATTAGTTTATTTAATCATTGCGGAGTGTTATCTGCATAATCTGACTTTACCGCAGGCCAAAGTAAACCTAACGTTGTCTGACTTCCGCTATGAGAAGCTTCTGCCGGAGACTGGTGGGGGCGGGAGCTATCACTGGAACGAGACCGTTGAGCCGCCACCTCCACCACAAGAGCGCCGCATGGCCAACTACTTCGACCGGATCATTTCGCGCCTAAGCTTCAACGGCCTCTCGGTGAGTATCAAGCCTTTGCCATTCAAGTTCTCCTTGTGTCGACACTGCGCTGACGTGTATGCTCGGAAAGAAGGCCTGGAAGAAGGAGTTATTAATAAGTATGTGGCAAATTCAACTCCCTCATTTGCATTTACGGCCGAGTGTGGTGACGATGAATGACAGCCTAGCTCGACTAGCACGAGGAAAAGAATGAAACTAGAGGATAAGAACAGCCGACCAAGATACGGGTGCTGTCACTTGGTTCTTTCTTATTTCGCTACAATTTATTTATTTATATATTTAATTATTTAGTTTATTTATTCAAACATTCATTTGTTCGCAATATTGCCACAGTCCTGCGAGAGCGTGGCAGTTGGGCAGTAAAAGAAAAGGTGTCAAGATGAATCCGTACTAGCCTGCTCAAGTTGCAATTCTCATACAAGAAAAGGTGTGGTTCACACTAAATTTGTGCCACTGGGTCGAACAGTCAACAGGGAGTCTTACTCTGAAGTGCTCAACCGGTTGCATTGCACAACAGGAGTCGAGGCGTCTGAGAATAAATTCGTGACATTTGGATCTTGCACCATGACATCGTGTCAAGCCACACCACGCCCCTTGTCTCCGAGTAGCTGTCCAAGTGCGTGGTGGTGGTGGAAAAATCATTTATTAGAAATAAGCGATGTATATGCAGGGACGCCTTACAAGAGGATGGCACCCACAACTAGTACGTGGTTATCCCTTGCACAGGACCCCATTGGCATCGGCTGCTGCCTGCACTCGTCAAACCAAGGCATTTTAGGCCTTGTTGGGAATAAAGTGTCATGACATGCCACCACGTCCATTACTGTTGCGACTTTAGGTCACGTGGTCCTGACCCGAGCCAGCCGAGTCTCCGGAGCTGCAGCTGGTAATAAGAACGTGTATATAGAGTATTTACATATTTATGGTAGCGTGACAACATGAAAGGACGAAGCACACCCGAGCGTCTCTGCGCTCGCGTTTCATATCCTGGGTCTTCCCAAGCTTCCTTGCAAAGGAAAACAATTGAACCCAGGACACTCCAATGGGATCGTTCATCTTCCTTTCCGCCCCCGAAGAGGGCAAGTCAAACACCATTTTCCTCTTGATACAGAAAAGGTGGAAAGGCACGCCCAGTTCGTCGCACGGTGAGTGAGAGATACAATACTTCATGCGACAGCATGGCACAACCAGCACAGTGCAATGACGTGTAGTCGACCCATCGGTGTGGCAAAACTTCAGGTTCGGCACATCAATAGCTGATCAGGCCTTGAAGACACAAACGCACCAAAGAATGTGGGAAACGTCCTCGTAGACTGAGCCCAGACACTCGGTTCATTGTTTGATGTGCTTTGACGACCTAACCAACACAGAAGAAGTCATGACAGCTATGACTGCAATATTCCTTTCACCCGCTCAATTTGCCCAGTCAATATGGCCGTCTTCCGGCTTCACCACGGCTTTACAACGAGTGATGTAAGGACCTCTCCTCAGTTTCTGTCATGTGTGCGAGATGCAATAACTCCAATGAGCAAGACAAGAAGCACAGAGAGAGAAGAATAAAGGAAGAATTGAAGAAAAAGATGTCAAAACTTGGCAGAACAGCGACAGTCAGGATTGCATATAGGTGCCTATTACCTCCACTGTCTGTTTAAGAGTATTGCGCTTCCACTGCAAGTAATGGCTATTTTTATTCTGTACTTTCTAATTATTTTAGATAATCATTTCGCCTGCTACGTTTTGCCCATAACTTATTGGCAATTTTTAAAGCCAGACAATTATTCTAAAAGAGCTGCACAATGCGAATATTTCCCTCAAGAACATTTCTAATACGAAGTAGTATAATTGGTCACCCAACTTTGCACGCAGGTCTGCTTGCGTGCACACAGATCACACAAGTCGGACTGTACTAACATTGTTACATCCTTCATCTTCAGTTATATTCACTTGTTATTACATTTCATATTGTGTTAAATGATTGCCAACGTCCTTTACACATCTTTGTACTTTCTCATTCTTCATAGACTTGTGTAATGCATATACCGCAAAATGAAACTCCTGCCAATGCATTCAATTCACTGCACTTGTTCTGAATTGGTCGGCTTTCTTTTCTTTCTCTCTCTCTCTCTCTCTCTCTCTCTCTCTCTTTCATGCCTATACGATTGCAGTGTTCATGATGTTCCCTGATGCAGCTTGCTGTTGTTTGATGGTGCTGATGCTGTAAAAGATGTGATACCTTAGTCGAGCGTTTCTTGGTTTTAGCCTCACAGGCTCTATGAATTCCTAATTGTATTGGTGAAGTCTAAATTATTAATAATAATAATCAGACATATCCTTAACAAACGCATATCCTTGCTGTTCTACCGTTTTTTGTTACATGCCCGCTCTTGACTGTGTTTGCTCTTGAATTTAAATGTACTCAACACCTTTGCAAGATGTTACAGCGCGCGAACAAAGGAAAAAGGACAGGGTAGACAGAAAGAGCGCTGACTTCCAACTAATTTTATTTCACAGAGTGGCAAGAATATATACTGCTAAAAAGGATGATAACAGAGCATGAAGGTAAAATGCACGCCTAATCTGCACATCAGTAACAAAACACGTGTGACAGGTCCTCTATTGCCTCAAAGCCCAGCTAGGTAATCACGTTCAGCTTGTGATAAAGCAATCGATGATGTGCTTACACATTTATCTCCTAGCAAGTGTATTTTTTCGGCTTCAATAATTTCTCGGGTAAGCTGGTCCCTGTGCCTTGCCAATATTGAGCACTGATCAAAGAGAGGGGTGCACCCACAATCTCGGCAATGAATGCCAAGATGCCCTTGTACCACATTGTGCACATTGTTTCGGTGTTCTCGGAGGCGGTCATTTATGCACCTGCCGGTTTGCCCGACAAAGATGCACCCACACGTCAGTGGAATCAAGTAAACGACTCCCACTGCGCATGGGACGTAGCGTGTCCTGTGCGCGACAGAGCACGAGGCAGAATTTGCACGAGGTGCATTGACCCGTTTGCAAAGCCTCTGCAATTTTTCCGGGGCAGAAAAACCACAAAAACGTTGGCGTCTCGAGCAATCTTTTTTAGCCTGTGTGATACGTCGTGCACGTAAGGCAGTACGACAGGCCGGCTCTTTCTGACACTGTTTCGCTTATTCGGTTTGTCGCCTCGCTTCAAGACAGTGACCAGCTTTTCCGCCACCGAAACGAGAGCATGCGCGGGGTAACCAGCTTTGGTAAGCCGCTCTACTTGTAGAGCAAAGCTGTGGTGTACCATGTGGGGGCATGACTTCTTTAAGGCATTGACAAGGCAGAGGTTAGCGATGCCCCGCTTGACCAATTTAGAGTGAGCTGAGCTGAAAGGCAGAAGAGGCTTGCCGCTTCTTGGTTCATACATCCAGCAAGCATGTCGGGAGTCTAACAAGAGCTTCAAATCTAGAAACTTCAGGTTGTTATCAGTGGGTAATTCATGAGTTAGAACTAGTGGCTTCAGGCACTCTCGGAAAACAGTCAACACGTCAGAGGAAACGGTCTGAAAATTTTGACTATCGCATTTCAACAACACTAAGTAATCATCAACAAAACGGCAAACTTTAAAAACTACAGAGTCGTCAAGCTTGTTTGACAAGACACGATCATGATGTGCTAGAAATATGTCACTAAGAATGGGTGCCAAATATGAACCAATACATATTCCACTTTTTTGTAAGTAGTTTTTGTCCTCTTATGATACAAAAGTGGCCTACAAAAGTGGCCTAATTAGTAATTCTAATAAGCTGCTGTTGTGAATTCCAGTACGCGTTTGAAACGCTGATGATCCTAACCTGTCTATGGATTCCTCTACACATTTAAGTAGTTGGTCATGCGGCAAAGAGTAATACAAGTCCTTAATATCCACAGACATTGCCTGGAGTTCTGTGTTAGTTCGTCCAATAATGTCAATAACAGCGTCAGAGTTCTTGACCAAAAAAGGATCGTCTATTGTTATATGTTTTAGCTTTTCCTGCAAGAAAAGTGCTACAGACTTTTGCCAGGTCCCCCTTTCTGTTACAATGACCCGCGATGGGCAGTCAATTTTGTGAGTTTTCGCAGAAAAGAACAGGTCAAGGCTAAGCTTTTTGCAACTATCTATCGCCTTCGAAAGCTTTTGAAACCCCAGGGCCCCGGTAAGAGTTTTTGCACGCTTCTTAAGCTTATCCAGACCAATCTCATCATTCTCGTTGAAAAGAGACTGCATTGCCTGCATAGCCTTCACCTTAAACATTGAACGAGGAAGAACCGCAAAACCACCTTCCTTGTCTGCCGGCAGAAGTGACAAGGAATGTGCCTTTAGGTACGCGACAGTGCTTCCTGTATTGACAACTTTGTTCGAAGGCTTACATCTCGAGAGCACCTGCACGCCTTGGGCAACACATCTATCACATTCAGAGTCAGGAGCACGACGGGCGACTTGCCTGACCAGAGTGAGGAGCTCGTGCGGTGTTCTTGAAGGTGCCACCGCGTACTTTGGTCCGAGGCATAGGGTGTGCTTAACGTTGTCGGGAAGAAAAGCATCCCCGAGAACATGCACACAGTCCTTAGCAGCTGGAGACTTCCTTGGTGTGATGGCCCGCAGGTAATTGAGCGACTGACGCCACTGACGTGTGGGTGCATCTATGTCGGGCAAACCGGCAGGTGCATAAATGACCGCCTCCGAGAACACCGAAACAATGTGCACAATGTGGTACAAGGGCATCTTAGCATTCATTGCCGAGATTGTGGGTGCACCCCTCTCTTTGATCAGTGCTCAATATTGGCAAGGCACAGGGACCAGCTTACCCGAGAAATTATTGAAGCCGAAAAAATACACTTGCTAGGAGATAAATGTGTAAGCACATCATCGATTGCTTTATCACAAGCTGAACGTGATTACCTAGCTGGGCTTTGAGGCAATAGAGGACCCGTCACACGTGTTTTGTTACTGATGTGTAGATTAGGCGTGCATTTTACCTTCATGCTCTGTTATCATCCTTTTTAGCAGTATATATTCTTGCCACTCTGTGAAATAAAGTTAGTTGGAAGTCAGTGCTCTTTCTGTCTACTCTGTCCTTTTTCCTTTGTTCGCGCGCTGAAACATCTTGCAAATATGACTACGCACCAACTAGCCCAAGTTTCCACCCTTGTGTACTCAACACATTGTTCCCCCCCCCCCCTATGTAATGCCCTTCGGGGCCTTTAGGGTATCTGAATAAAAATAAACTCAAGTGGCAGGATTAAATTTATTGGCAGTAAACGTCATGGTAGCATTGCAAAAAAAAGAAAAGGAAGGATACGTAACAAACTTGTCACAATCAATTGAAGGATTTGGTCATAGACTGATAATTTTTAAAGGAAAACGGGTAGAAATGGAGTGAGTGGCAGCGGACAGCCTTAATTGCGAGTGTCATAAGAAAATTTTTTTCTTCAATATAAGTCGAACGCTGAGAAATGAACATACGTCTGAAATATAGCTGCTACGTGCAATAATACGAATCGCCTTATTTTGGTTATGCAGTAATGTGAACATGGGCCTATTTACGCCGGATATTGCCACGTTCCATTTACCCCATGACAATATGAATGGAGATGGTGCTGGCGAACGTGTTCATGGAGGCCCAAGGAAAGCTATGGTTGCGTAACAGTCTACCACCTTCTGACTCGACATTCTTTGAAGAGCCAGAAGTTACTTTACAAAAACGTAAAGTCAGTTTTTCTGGCACGATTGCCTGAATGATCAGCCAAGGGCACCGCAATAGCTTGAGCAACAGTGCACACTCCTCACTAGCTAACTTCTCTATGTAAAAAAAGCCAATACATCAGTTAGCGCAACCTTTTAACCTTTTAGTCGCTTAAGTATCTTTGAGTTGTTACTAGCCGCTTTCCAATCAATCGAGAATGCCGAAACGCTCGGGCTTCACACGAGAAAGCGACGAAGGCGCTGCTGATATTTCTTTGGGCAACCAATCTCATTAAATGACTTGGATGCTCCCACGCTTGAGTGTGCATTTATTTCGCTATAATTTTAACTCTTTCTCTCGTTCTTTTTTTTCTTTTTTTCTGCCCCCCTTCCAAAGTGCAAAGGATAAAACGGGATGTTTATTTTTTGGCTAACCTCCCTGCTGTTCACTTCACCTTTATTTCTCTCTCTCTCTCTCTCTCTCTCTCTCTCTCTCTCTCTCTCTCTCTCTCTCTCTCTCTGACATGCATGCTTCCTCCCATTGCCATCAAAAAGTATAGCTCACTTCTCTCTCTTCTGCGAATTACGTAACAACGGGAAAACATCTCTTAGTGCATTGTTCTCCGCAACTATCAATTAGGCAAGTAGTGGAGTAGTGTGCAAATTTATAAGTGAAAAAGTAGAAAAAACCATAAATCGTTCTGTTTGTAGGCATTCGTATTGGTCTATATCAGCTCATTTTGAAAGGCCGTAGAGTAAAAGCGTCCGTCACTATGCGTACGAATGAGACCTACCGTCACACTGGCAGAATAGATTAAAAAATGTCGTACGAGATAGACTGGCGAGTTTTACTAGAACCTTTCCAGTTGCAGTAAATGGAATCGTAAGTCTACTATGTGCAGGGAAGTAGAGTTTGGTCGATAGTCGGCACATTGAAGACGCGTCTGTTGTTTTTCTTCTGCCCAGGGACCTATCTCATTCTCTGGAAGTGATCGCGTTGGCATCACGGAGTTCCAGCAGAACCAAGGTGAGCGCTGGACGAATAAACGAGTTCCATGCAAACAGTGGTGCATAGCCAGGGGCTGAAACCCAGGGTCCGTGCCCCCCCCCTTCAGATTTTTTTCTCATGGCATAATACATATGACAAAATGGCTCTCCCACATGCGCCTCTGCCCAGCTCCTACTTGGCGTCATAATGCTGTCCCCGAAGAAATTTCTGCTTAGGTCCTTGCATGCTTTGTTCGAAACTGCGCGCTATGCAATGGATATCGGGACCGCATGTCGGAGTGGAGCCGCTGCTTTGCTTCCTTGCGAGGGCAGGCTTGTAGCACACGCACACACGCGCACACGCGCACACACACACGCACACACACACACAAAATGATGACACTGTTTGATAAAAGTGTGGCGCAGCAGCGCACAATATAGTACTAACCAGCGCGGGACTGTGGTACGCCGGCCACGCAACGACGAAGTTTGCTTATCTCTTGTTTTGTTTCGCAAAAGAAAGAAAGTAAGAAAGAAAGAGACGAAATAAGTAAGCTGAGCAAAACAAAGCCGGCGAACAACCAGCGAATCATGCGCAGCTATGTTCGCTTCATTAGTTACGGCTGTATTGCCACCCGGACAGCACCGCCATACGCTAATGAGCGATGTGAAAGGAACATCGGAACCTCGACAGTGGAGGGCCCTCGATCTGATCCGACACGTGCTCCAAAAGGCGGCTCCTCACCCCTCGAGCGATCGACAGCGTGGTGAACGTGCTAACGCGCAGAAGAAACAACAGCTTCAAACTAGCTGGGTCCCATTGCGTGCACGCCCCGCATCCTCGACAGGTAGCACGAGAACCTGCGCTGCAGCGACCGTGCGCGCTTATTGTCTGCGCCCGTTATGTATGGGAGCACGCTATTACTGCTACAGCGGTTCATTCTTAGTTGGCTTAGCTGAGTGCACTGCCCTAAGTAGCTGCGCACTAATTGGGCACTCCTGCATCGCGTCGTCTCTTCGTAAGAGCTATCCACAAAATAAGAAATAATAAAGTGAGTAGGTAGGCCCCGCAAGCAAGAAATTTTTTCACTGGGGCAACCACTTCGTTAATACTTCGACTAGTTTTAGAAAAAAACACCTATTTTCGTTACTTATTTTTGGTAAAACAGCCTCCTCCATCAAAATTTTGAAAAAAATAGTGTGTGTGTAAGACTAGATGCGGGAATGTGCGGGTGGAAGGCATACACCACGGGGTGTTATCGCAACAGAGACACGAAGCCTGTAGACGACCATGTGCACGTGACATTGTGCTTGCGATTCACATGAGAGTGCTTATATGAGCTGGTTGGTAAATGTTCAAGGAAATGAGGAACTGCGCGAAGCACAAAACATTATTATTATTATTATTATTATTATTATTATTATTATTATTATTATTATTATTATTATTATTATTATTATTATTATTATTAAGGCGTTTATTAGCCGGCAACGAGCGAGAATATACAATGGCGACAGTCACGGCCAAGCACGGGCTCTCAGCGCGAGCGGCGTCCTTGTTGGGTAGCCCCACTAGAAGGTACTCAAGAGTTCGACCCATTTCATAGTTCGGAGGCTTCGCTACAATTACCCCGGGGTCGAAGAGGGAGCCGCCTGGCGACCTAACAGCTTGTTATTATGAGCGGGTCATAATAAGGCTTCAGGCGCTCCACGTTGACGATGTCTCGCCCACGGCGGCGCATGTCCGAAGATTGTTCAACGGGTTCGATCAGATAGTTGACGGGTGAGGTGCGCTCGATGACACGGTAGGGGCCTTCGTATTTGGGACGTAGTTTGGAAGAGAGGCCAGCGGCAGAGGTCGGGATCGAGATCCATACAAGCGCACCAGGAAGGAACTTGGGCTCAGAAGTGGTGGAGCCATCACGGATACTCTTCTGCCGCTCTTGCTCTTGCGTCGTAAAAGTCTTGGCAAGCTCGCGACACTCTTCAGCAAGCCTGGCTGTCTCGGAAATAGGTGTACACTCAGATGGATCCGGCGTGTACGGGAGTATCGTGTCCATGGTGTGCGACGGGTGCCTTCCGTACAGCAAGTAGAAAGGTGAAAAACCAGTCGTGCTCTGAGGGGCGGTGTTGTAGGCGTAGGTGACGAAGGGCAGTATATTATCCCAATTAGTGTGGTTGGCAGCGACGTACATAAAAAGCATGTCGCCGAGAGTGCGGTTAAAGCGTTCGGTGAGGCCATTCGTCTGTGGGTGGTAAGCAGTAGTTTTGCGGTGGACAGAATGGCACTCCGTCAGAATGGCTTCGACGACTTCCGACAAGAAGACACGGCCTCGATCGCTGAGAAGCTCTTGGGGTGGTCCGTGGCGCAGTAAAAATCGATGCAGCAGGAAGGACGCAACATCGCGCACAGCAGCCGCAGGGAGAGCGGCGGTTTCGGCGTATCGCGTTAAATGGTCAACGGCAACGATGGCCCAGCGGTTACCAGCCGACGTCAGAGGAAGTGGTCCATACAAATCGATACCTACGCGCCCAAGGGGACGGTCAGGGCAAGGTAACGGATGTAGACTGGCGTGCGACATGTGGGCTGACGGTTTACGGCGTTGGCAAGTGAGGCAAGAGCGAACGAACTGCTGCACATAGCGGTACATCCCGCGCCAGAAGTAGCGTTGTTGAATGCGATGGTAGGTTTTGAATACCCTAGAGCGCGCGCATTGCGGATCAGAATGGAAGGATTCACATATCTCTGACCGCAGACTGCGGGGTATCACGAGTAACCACTGCCGGCCGTCGGCGTCGTAATTGCGTCGGTGTAGGAGGCCGTCACGAATGGCGAAATGGCGATCTTGACGACGCAATGCACGCGTGGATGGCGTTGCGGATGGATCAGAGAGCATGTCGATGAGCGGACCGATCCAATTATCCTTTCGCTGTTCGGTAGCGATGATGTCAACATCAATGGCAGAAACAGCAGCCGAGGATACTGAGCAGAGCACATCACCTTCAGGCAGAGGGGAGCGCGAGAGGGCGTCGGCGTCAGCATGCTGGCGTCCGTTGCGGTACAGCACGCGGATATCGTAGTCTTGTAAGCGAAGAGCCCAACGGGCGAGACGGCCTGAGGGATCCTTCAATGATGAAAGCCAGCATAGTGCATGATGGTCGGTGACGACATCGAATGGGCGACCATACAAATAAGGTCGAAACTTTGTAAGAGCCCAGACGATCGCCAGGCACTCTTTCTCCGTGACGGTGTAGTTTTTCTCGGCTCTCGTGAGCGTACGGCTTGCATATGCTACGACATATTCAGGGAATCCGGGTTTTCGCTGCGCCAGGACAGCGCCGAGGCCTACTCCGCTGGCGTCCGTGTGCACCTCCGTTGGGGCTGTAGGGTCGTAGTGGCGTAGAATGGGAGGCGACGTCAACAAATGGCGGAGCTTCGCGAACGCGTCGTCGCACTCGGATGACCACGAATTGAAGGGCCCGTTGCTTCCAAGGAGCTTCGTCAGCGGTGATATGATCGTGGCGAAATTTCGTATGAAGCGTCGGAAGTATGAGCACAGACCCACGAAACTACGCAGTTCTTTGACAGATGCAGGTTTGGGGAATTCGGCCACGGCCTGAAGCTTGGCAGGATCAGGAAGAATGCCGTCTTTGGACACGACGTACCCCAGTATGGTGAGTTGCCGTGCTGCAAAGCGGCACTTTTTCAGATTTAGTTGTAAGCCGGCATTGCTCACACGTGCGAAAACTTCTTTCAGACGTTGGAGATGCGTGGAGAAATCTGGAGCAAAGACAATGACATCGTCGAGGTAACACAAGCACGTGTACCATTTCAAGTTGCGCAGAACGGTGTCCATCATGCGCTCAAAGGTCGCAGGTGCATTACATAGACCAAACGGCATGACGTTAAACTCGTACAAGCCGTCTGGCGTGACGAAGGCGGTCTTTGGTCGAGCGTCGTCAGCCATGGGTACTTGCCAGTACCCCAAGCGCAGATCGAGAGAAGAAAAAAAATCGGCTCCATGAAGGCTGTCAATCGCGTCATCGATGCGTGGCAGTGGATAAACATCCTTGCGAGTGATCTTATTGAGCCGTCTGTAGTCCACACGGAACCGCACAGAACCATCTTTCTTCGCAACAAGAACAACAGGAGACGCCCATGGACTGTCGGAGGGCCGAATAACGTCGCGTCGGAGCATATCGTCAACCTGATCATTAATTACTCGACGTTCAGCAGGCGACACGCGATATGGACGTTGCCGTAAAGGTGGATGGGCACCAGTGTCGATGCGATGCGTAACAACGGACGTGCGACCGAGAGAACTTCGCCCGACATCGAAAGAAGAACGATATTCTTGTAACAGGTCCAGAAGTTGGGAACGCTGTATGGCCGTAAGGTTGTCAGCGATGGAGGGGCCAAATACATCAGCAGACGAGGAATCAGAAGTGGAAACAGCATTGATGGTACACGACCTGGGAGCGTGCGTGTCATCGGGTACGTCCAGGACTTGTGCGTCGTCGACTGGTTCCACTCTGCCGAGACATTCCCCTCGAACCAAGGTAACAGTGTACGGGGATGGGTTGGTTACAAAAATAGCAGTGTTGCCCTGGTTGACCTGCACGGTCGCCAAAGGTACTAGCAACCCTTTCCTGCTGCAAGCGCGGTCAGATGGCGAAACAAGTCCAATGGTGTCGGAGAGACCAGCGCAGTAGACAGACACAGCCGTCGTCGAGTTTGGAGGCACTGTTGTATCGTCTTTCGTTAGAATCTTGCTCAGTGTCGGGGGACTGTCTTCTGGCGTCAAATGCGAGAAGGGTGAGAGCTCAATTTCGGCGGCGGCACAATGGATGACGGCGTCATGGCGTGAGAGAAAGTCCCATCCCAGGATGACGTCATGAGAGCATGCCTGAATGACGATGAACTGGGCGACATACAGAACGTCCTGGATGACAACGCGAGCTGTGCACCCTGCTGTAGGATGAATCCGGTGCAAACTTGCAGTACGGAGGGATAACCCAGAAAGTGGTGTCGTCACTTTTCGAAGTAAGCGGCAGAGTTTTTCGTCCATAACTGATACGGCAGCTCCAGTGTCAATAAGAGCCGATGCACGAACACCGTCCACAAGCACGTCAATGACATTCGAGGGGCTGCTCTGAGGGCTTTCACATTGCGATAGCGTCGCAGTCCTTGCGTCAGGGACTGCGACGACTAGTTTTCCCGCTCATGAGCTGCCGCACTTGGCCGCATGGGAGACAGGGAACGGCGTCGTGGAGACGGTGATCTTCGAGATGGACCTGGGCGAGATCGAGGTGGCATAGACGGCGGTTCTTCGCGATAAGGACGGCTGAGTTGGCCAGCAACAGGTGAAGAAATTGGAGCCGGCTGTACGCGATGGCAATAACGGGCCACGTGACCGGCGTAACCGCAGGCAAAGCAGATGGGCCGGTTGTCGGGTGTGCGCCATCTGTTCACCGGGGTAGGTCTCGCCCATGTCGCAAGGGCTGATGAACGGAACGGTGGCTGCATGGTGGACTGAAGCTGAGGCTGAGGGGTTACGTCAACATACGTAGCGGGCATACCCGCTGCAACGGACGGAGGTCGTGCAGCAGCTTCAGCGTAGGTCAAAGGGGCGGGTGCTTGAACGACTTGGGGTGGCCTGGCGACCACTTGCGCGTAACTCAGGGACGCAGGAGCCGGAGGCTGTTGGGGGTGGTAAGCAGGCATTACCTCCGCTATTTCCTGTTCAATCGCTCGGCGGATGGGAGGGAGAAGGGTAGTAGCCGATTGTTGAACAGCAGGTTGGTGGGAAAAGGGCAGGAGGGAGAACTGACGCGCGATTTCCTCACGGATAAAGGACTTCAGTTCTGCCATCAACGCCACTTGGTAACAACTGGCCTCCAAGCCAGCAAGCGTTGCAGCTCGTGGTGGGGAGCGTCGGGTCATCGAACGCTGCCGGCGGAGCTCCTCGTAGCTCTGGCACAGTGTGATGACCTCAGCCACCGTGCCGGGGTTTTTGGCGAGCAGCATCGTGAAGGCATCATCGTCGATGCCTTTCATGATGTTTCGGATCTTGTCAGACTCGGACATGGTGTGATTGGATTTGTTACATAGGTCGAAGACATCTTCAATATAGCTGGTGAATGACTCACCAGCCTCCTGAGCACGTTCACGCAAGCGCTGCTCGGCTTGCAGCTTGCGAACAGCAGGGCGGCCGAAGACGTTGACGATTGCGGTCTTGAAATCGGACCAGGTGGCAAAATCGGACGCGTGGTTGTTGTACCACAAACTGGCGACACCGGCAAGGTAGAACACCAAGTTGGTCAGCTTGCCGTCCTCGTCCCATTTGCTGGGGACGCTCACGCGGTCGTAAATGGCGAGCCAGTCCTCCACGTCAGTGCCATCAGCGCCAGTGAAGATGGGTGGATCGCGGATTCTGGGGACACCGGGACAAGGGGGTGGCATTGGAGGAGGCGTTTGCTGAGAAGCGTCTTGGTACATAGTAGATGGCAGGGTACGTGATCGCAGCTCCAAAGGCATAGACAGGGATCGCAGCACTCTCCACCAAATTGTTAAGGCGTTTATTAGCCGGCAACGAGCGAGAATATACAATGGCGACAGTCACAGCCAAGCACGGGCTCTCAGCGCGAGCGGCGTCCTTGTTGGGTAGCCCCACTAGAAGGTACTCAAGAGTTCGACCCATTTCATAGTTCGGAGGCTTCGCTACATTATTATTATTATTATTATTATTATTATTATTATTATTATTATTATTATGTTGTTGTTGTTGCTGTTGTTGTTGTTGTTGTTGTTGTTGTTGTTGTTGTTGTTGTTGTTGTTGTTGTTGTTGTTGATGTTGTTGTTGTTGTTGTTGTTGTTGTTGTTGTTGTTGTTGTTGTTGTTGTTGTTGTTTACTGCAACACTATTAGTCTGCGCTGTTTCTGTTCCGCGCATAACGCAGTACCAATGTATACGTGGGGTAAGGGATAATTGTCAAGCCGCGATTGAGTGGCTTCTTTCCTCCTCAACCATGTGCTTGTCTATGCATGTCTGGAATAGAGACTTACACTCAGACTCATAATTTGGAGGGAGGCGCTACAATGGCGGTGAACCTTTGGCATCTCCTCCACAGGTGGGCTCTTGCGCAAAGTGGCCCTGTACATACCAGACTCCAAAATGCTGGACTTCTCCTGCATTAGGTGCCGCCCGATCATCTGGCAAGGTAACACTGTCTCGATTCTGGTGTGCCCCAAACGAGTGCCATGCTTGCCCGTCACTACCACGCCCGATTCTATTCTCGAACTGAAAGCTTCGAATTTTCATCATTTCCGAGCACACGTCGTTCTCAATCTCAACCCTTTGCGTGGCAAAACGCACCGTAACGTTGTATAGCCTATTCGAAATGAGCGACATTAAAAAATAACTTCGACAGCGGCGCTCATAACTGTGTGTGCCAACATGTTATCATCATACTCGTTTGTTAACGTGCCTCAGTTATCACGGTCTTACGTCATTGTTTCATGGCTTTCCTGTTACGTTACAAAGAGGCACGTGAAAGACAACGAGGTTGACCAGATTATATCCTACGTGTGACGTTACAATTTTCTAAAGGTTTTGTGTAGGAGGACAGTACAGTGTTGCCAACCACTTCTGTAAATACTCTGCATCATGGTCAAAAGCACCCTACTTTACCCCACACAATTTTTTTTACCACCCTGCATTTTATCTCAGCCCTGAAATACCTCAATCTAACAGTATAGCATTTGAGACTTCACTTAACGACATGCAGACGTGTGGTGGCGCTGAATTTGGTATAAACTTCAGGAATTTCAAAGTTAGTTTCCAATAGATGATAACAAACATGAAAACAACAAATAGAAAAAAAGGAAAGCTTTCCGGCATTTGTATGTAAACAACATTGACTCGTAGCTGGAAAAGTAACTATAGGAGTCTCATCGGGCGCTGGCAGAGTAAGCTAAATGGCAGCAGACAGCGTTAAGCGGCACGTCATAGAGGTGGAAAATACGTATTCGTTAGCAACAATAGAAAGAAAGCGGCGCTGCAGTGTAAGCAGCGCGTCTGTGCTAAGTCTGACCCGCCGCGGTGGTCCAGCGGCTAAGGTTCTCGGCTGTTGACCCACAGGTCGCGGGATCGAATCCCAGCCGCGGTGGCCGGATTTCAGATGGAGGCGAAAATGCTTGAGGCTCATGTTCTTAGATTTAGATGCACGTTAAAAACCTAAGGTGGTTGAAACTTCTGGAGCCCTTAGATATGGCGTCTCTCATATTCATATGGTAGTTTTCGGACGTTAAACCCCGCAGTTATTATATTATATGCTATAGGCCTACATGAAACCGATAGTTTTAGGACCAACATAGGGCAGTTAAACAGGTCGACGTTAAAAAAAAAAAAACAGGAATACCGAGGTTAGTCTGCGATAAGGTGCACAAATTTGGGCTGTGCATTTGATAGGTTTTTCTTTATATAGGATAGCAAACTTTATTCAGTTGGAATAGTTTAGGCCGCTATGTAAAAAAAAAAACCAAGCCAACAAGTTTTTGAGTTTGCCTAAGCAGAGGTCATCGCCCCGTTGTAAAAAAGAAACGTTTTTAAGCGATTCATTTTTATTCTGCCATCTGGAAAACTAATATGGTCGCCTAAGCATTCGATGACTGGAAGGCGAAAGCCATTTTATTTTGATTCTTCTCATTCTATATGTAGTCACCCTCGAACGAATTCTGCACCTAGTGTGGTTTTTCATGGCCTCGGTGATTGGAGACACTGCAGGCTTTTGGCACGCCACGTGCATCTGGGTTCCGCTCCAAATTACCATTCCATGTGATGACGTTGTCATTTAGCACCAGCCCAGGTTTAGTTGCCATCACGGCGTCTCGTAATTTCGCAATCTGTCTGGTCATGATGAGGTGGCGTCCATGATAATTTTTTGCATCACTCGCGTTGACGCCTATGGTCACGTTTCGTGTTTGATGAGGCATCTAAGTCTTTGCCCTAATAACTGGACCCAAATGTAACCAGAAAATTTACCCCCCTTCGACCGGCCTTACTGAACGGTTGTGGCTAGGACGCCCTTCCTGTGTGTGTTTTCGTTTTTTTTTTTTTTGAGTGCGCGTGCGTTTTTTTTTCTCTTTCTACCCTCTCTTTCTTGCCCCTACTTCCCCGCCCCCAGCACTGGGTAGCAAACCAGATGCCCATATCTGGTTAACCTCCCGGCATTTCCTTTCTTACTCTCTCTCTCTCTCTCTCTACCCCTCCCCGCAACGAACGAATGGGAGGGGACGGAGAAAAAAATGAATACATGAAAGAGAAAAAACAATAGAAGCACAGAATAGTATGAAATATTATCTTCCGTCTCTGCCCTATGTGACATGTGAATGAAGGTAGCACCAGTTTTAAGCAATGAAATTGTTTGGATCTCTTCCTCACAAATGTCGCGTGGATCATCCACATTTTTTTACCTAATCGGTGATGAGCAAAATGTAGAAAGGTTACCCTACGTTCTCTAACAAAATCGCATTACCACCCTACTACCCTATACGCAGGCCGAAATATCTCGAAATTACCTTACATATAGGGTAATTACCCTAAGGTTGGCAGCACTGGCTCAGTGTTTCGGAAGCCTGCATTTCTGTCCAGCATCGAGAAATAGAAGGTCCTTAATGAGTTAGGTTGAAATTTGCCTGTTCAATAATCCAGCATGCTACAATACAGAAAAGTGTTTTCATTCTCCGTGGGGTTTTATTAAATATTGAATCGTATGCACAGAGCACGTCATATATACACAACGTGTGCACGACAGACTCAACAAGAATTTTCCCTCCGTTAATTGTTGTTGTGTGGTGGTGCTGAATTTTTTCAGTGATTTCAATATTAGTTCCAAAGGGTGCTCTCCTAGATATACAGGTTGTGTTAGTCTAGCAATGATCATGATCTTCTTCAGCCTGACTACACCGACTGCATGTCAAAGGCATGTTGCTTCAATTAACGTGGCTCTGCGATCACTGTGGCCATGTTATCCCCAACATCCTAACCTCATCTCCGAAAATCCAGTCTCCCAGAATCCAGTCAATCAAACAATGGTTGTCATTCCTTCGGGATACATGCCCAGTCTTGACCCATGTCATTTTGATCTCCAATAAGGTGTCATTTAATGCCAATAAGAAGTTACTTGAATAGCCAATTTTTCTACTTCTCACAGTTTGTCTATTTTCGCCTAACAGTATCATCACCCATTGACGTCACGTCCGGTGTTTTTTTTTTTTCGAGTGGGTAGATTCTTTACTATTTAGTATATACAGTAACAACTTGCTTTATAGCATCTCATCTGAATTCAGGCTTCACGCAGATAACTAGGGGTTTAAGAGTGTAGTAATTCAATTTATGATCAATATCATCTTGCATAATCCCTCACATCTTTCGGTGACTGGTTTAAAATGTGGCAAATGAACCTTAAGTGTAGTCGTGGTGTCTTTCACCGATCAATGCAACCTTTTTTTTTAATTTTGTCAGATGGCAAGAACAGCGAAAGAGTAAGCCACCAATGACAGAAGGGCTGTCGCGTTATCTCCTACGCCCTTCTTTTTTCACCTCCTTTGCTTCCTGGGTGGGTACCTATGGGTACCTCATTAGGTACTCACTCAGGAGGAGGATGTTTGACGCGCATACACGGGCAACAAACACTGACGCAAAGCTTTACGTACCCTATTCTAAAAACAAAAATATGTATTAGGGTCGCTATTTTTAACGCAAATAACGTATCAGCGCGGAATTGGTGCTCTATGTTTTCCCGTATACAGCAAGCACTGCTTCACTCAGATTTGAGTAGCAAGTAGGCTTAATAATTTTGCCTAATTTGCTGTGAACGTTTCCGACCTTGAAGGCCTCAAGGCATGCACCAAGGTGATCTATGAGCCACATTTTGACAGTCTTGTGTCTTATACACAACTAATTAAAACTACACTTACTTAAGCAAGGGAGCAATGAGGATATTATTTGTAGTTTCTTAACTGCATGAAGTGCAATGAATTTCATCGTAGTCCAGGCGGCCGCCTGGATTACAAGTGGCTCGGGTCTAACACTTCCAGGTAGTACACATAAGTACCCTACAAGAGTGTGGGTGGGAGTGCGCTCTCTGTAGCTCGAATGGTACAGCATCTGTCGTGTGGTTCGAAGGTTGTGGGCTCGGATACCACCAACAAAAAGTGTCATTTTTCGTCCTTTTTACTTTCAATGCAAGTGAGGATCATTACACTGCAGTTGACAAAAACATAAGATCAATGTATTTGTCGACTTACTTGTCTCGAAATAATTAGTTATGTGTAATACAGGAAGAAATGAGCCCTTGGACAATACCGCTTCTTATGTCCTGTGTCTCGTGCTTGGCAGACGGTGAGCCCCCCGTGGCGAGACGCATCGTCAAGCTAAGCGTTGCAACCATCCAGCGCAGCGTTTTCATCTCTGTGTCGGTACTGGCCACCGTGGGCATGCTGCTGGCCATCGCCTTCCTTGCGTTCAACCTCTACTACCGTAAGAGCAAGTGAGTTTTCAGAGAACCTTTCGTGCAGCTATATTGGATAATCGTACATGACAAGAGGCAACTGCACACTGATAACCGTTCTTGAACATCCCGACACAAGTGCAAGAACGTTCAGAATACGAGAATAGACTAGTACACATACTCGCCCACAGATGAATTTTATTCGAATGCACATGCACAGTCAAACAGTGTTTTAATGCGACCACTCTTCACAAAGAAATATCGAGACAACTTAAAACAAAAAAAAAAACAAAAGCCACACCCGCTGCCCAAAAATTCAGATTTTCAGTATACGCTTGGAAGTTGCATGCGTTTTTCAGGTCAAGATAAATGCTTTTTGACCTCTTTTCTTCAAGAGTGGTCACATGGGTGATGAATTGCCATTGTTCAACGGAGCATGCAGATTCGAATAAAATTCGGGCCGTGGCAGTTGCACTTCAATGGGGGTGAAATAGTAGAGGCCCGTGTACTGTGCGATTTCAGTGCACCTTTTTTTGTTTCTGCAAACTGAAAGATAACCTCATCGTATCCTGCACTGAATGAGAGGGAATGACCGCAGGTTAATTTAAGGCCTGCAGCAGCTGCTACAACATTCGTTTCAAAGACTGATGAACAGCCCCGCCGCGGTGGTCTAGGGGCCAAGGTACTCGGCTGCTGACCCGCAGGTCGCGGGATCGAATACCGGCCGCAGCGGCTGCATTTTTGATGGAGACGAAAATGCTGTAGGCCCGTGTGCTCAGACATGGATGCATTGGAAAATACAAAACACAGTAATATATTGTGTAAGCGAAACAAACATGAGATTGATACACTTAGTTAATTATCAGTAATTATAAGCGGAATTATTTCACTTGCGTGGTTTCGAGAAGTGTATTTCAAACGCAACGTCCGGACTCGTGTCTGTATTCATAATTTCTCGTTATAATCTGGACAGCTTTCGTAAGCTTGTTATTTCTTGCGTGAATAATAATTTTCTAATAGTTCTGACGCAATGTCGCGGCCCAACTGCTGAGCAGCCTTTAGGTGAAAACCGCGAAAGTCTGCCAAGTCCCAAACACGTAGCGCTCATCGAACGTGGTTGGGAAGCATATACGGTGCTACGTGTTTCGACGACGACGCCATAATGGCTCAAGGCGTATGTTCATTAACTTAAATGGTACTATTGTTCTGTTTACAATCGTTGCTCACACAGTCTCTGGCAGTGTTCACGCCAACTTAGTTTAATGTACCGGCGCTAACTAAGCGCCCAGGTTGATGTGTGCACTTGACTTATTCCAATGGAGTCCCCTTTTCGATCATAGTCTTTCTCATAAAGCAAACAGCTTTTTGTTGTTTCAAATACAATGCCATCGCTTCGTGTAAACAAAGCGCCCGCATTGCCTCAGTGCCATTCAATAACACGGTCACTGACCGCAATTTCCGTCTTTCACTCCGCCTGAGTACAACGTTTCCGTCGAATCCTTGTCGACGTGGCAGGCTGTGTTGTGCTTCGAAGCTGTACGCGTCGTGACTGTTACGACGGGAAGGAAAAAAAAAAAAGCACACACACATTGCGATTATGGCACTGCGTGAAATTTTTTAAAAGTCCTGACACGCATAAAGAAAACATGGTTCGTGTCCCTTCGCCATAAGAATTGGTGTAACGTGAAAATAAAACGTGTTTTTAAAGTAGTGAAATGTTTACTGTACATTGCTATCGGAAAGCATGCACGATGCCTTTGGTGTTCGTAAGCTATAGCACTGTTTAACGTGGATGCACCCACGTCAACGATCGGTGGCACATCGCCATCTTGATGGAGTCATTTACGTAACTAAAATACGTCACTAAAGTCTTGGTGGACCCCGGCATAAAACGCTTTTGTGTTCAAATGCTAAGTGTCAGAAAATGGCACTTACTCAATGCGTTTGCGTTGAGTTAACTCGCAGACAGCTTTCTGAACCTCAGTGATCTTCATGTGGGGGACTGACATTCGTTAATCTGCGTTAAAGTCACGGCCGGCAGCCTGTATAATGTAACGAAAGAATGAAGTGTAAATTTAAAGGCTTGTTTTTTTTTTTTTTGTCAGACATATGTATTAATTAGAATTAACAAGTTTAACCACCTTTATATGCTCATATTTACTCAATAATGTAGACAGGGGAATGCCCGCCGCTGTAGCTCACTTGATATAGGGAAGTGAACGCGTTCTTCGAAGGTCGCAGGTTCGGTTCCTGCCATCGGCGAGTTTTCTTTTCGCCGACTTTTGATTTTTCACTCTTACATTATAATTGCTACTAATAGCATCATTTATATTTTTCTTGCAATCGCCGTGAGCCCTCTATAATACTGTGTCTGATGAAAATTGTAATGAATAGAGGCCTGATTTTTAGGCACCAAAAAGCACGTTATAGGCGCCAAAAATAGGCAGGCCAAACAGCGTTTTAGGCATATGGGCTGGTGAAACAAGTTTTCGGCCTCCAACATGGCAAACGTGGGCACAATAAAATTTGCCATGAACGCATATAATTTAAAACGTAAAGGCGTGTGTGACCTGTATTTACGACAGGAAAGCAATAAATGTTTTTATGATGGCACGAAGGCGCCAAAAGGAGAACACAGCCATGAGGTTGCCCTTTTTCCCGCATGTTTTGCATACCACGGTCTCACCTTTCTTTTATTCTCAAGTCATGTGTCTACTCAGTCGAGTCAGAACACTCCTAGGTCTCTTTCTTTCAGAGATGGCTGAGAAGGGCAGCAGAGGAGCACAGAGCCAAACTGTTGAAAGACAAGAAATTTCTCGTACTAACAGGCTTTCATTACGTTTTTCCCCTAACGAAGTGCACCTCGAGAAGTAGGTTACAAACAAAACGTAAGCAGGGTAAACATCGCATTTTTTTTTCTTTTGACTTTTGTTCTCTTTTCCCCTGACGGCTTTTCGTGGTTTTTTCACCAACCGCTCGCGTCATATCAGCGCAGCGGCGTTTGGTAACCACCGAATCCCGTTTCACTGCTGCTATAGTGATTGTTTTGCGAAAGTTATTTGAACAAGAAAACTAGGTTGGAACCACACAGAGTTCCAACTTCCAAGCACTGAATGTTGCTCAGTAACCCGAAAAACTTGAAACATATGCTTGAGCTTCGTCTTGGGTATACAATGCGATCGCGTGAATGAACCCTACATCGCATCGCCTTCTCTGTCACTTGTCTTGCTCGGCTGCTTCACGTCCCAGGAAAAGGAGTGTCTGTGCGCCCTTGTATGGGCCCTTTCAAAGTAACCCGGAATGATTACTACAAGTACAATTGCAAAGCTCCTAGTACGACATAATAAGTTGGCCAAGTATCCTTTACACAAGGCGACACACGTAGCTGCGAATCTGCACGTCTCTTTGTTGCGGCTGCTAATAATTATAATTAATTATGCCCGTGTGCTTTGTAATTGGTGGGCGAGACACTCTTCGCAAAGCCCACATGTACTGACGTCTGCTGTGATTACGATTCTGCCACGAAATATTACCTTTGAGGCACTCCTTACACATGACATTCAGTGTTTTTTTTTTGTTTTTACAATCATTCACGAGCATGCGCGTGCCACTGTAGCAAAATACCTGCTCGCCAAGCAGAAGTCTTGGATTTAGCTCCCACATGAGCCTAATTTTTTATTATTCACTTATTTACATCTATCTGAAATTTCTGCCCACGGCAATGGTGATTTTTTGCTCACAACCAACGATGCCAACTCTAGAAGTTTTGCGAAACAAGCCTTTTGATGCTATTACGTTGACAAGGGTCTGAAACTGCATTTAAAAATGCACTTTGAGGTTAAATAGCGTTCACAGAGGTGCTAACTTTAAAGTTAGGCATTTATAGGCACTTATAGTCGTTTAGGCCCATAGGCCAGAAGTTGTCATTTATAAAAAACACTATAAAAACACTTCTTGATCTCTGTTCATGCACTTATATTGAAGCGAAGTGATAGGAACGCAAGGAACGCTGCAGGAATTTACCTAAAATCCGGGCTCTATTAATGAACGAGGTAAGAAAAGTGAGCGTCACCTTCCTGAAACAACACGACTGGACAGGTACATCAAGCTGTCCAGTCCCAAGCTGAACAACATGACCGTGGTGGGCTGCTTGCTCGTCTACGTGGCAATCGTTGTCCTAGGCCTGGACTACGACACGCTGGGAAGTGACACCCGTTTCACCGTCTTCTGCACTGTGAGTATCCCTAGTTTCTCTTCGTGCAAGAAGGGGCACTGTGTGTGTTCTGATCATTGCTCTGTGTGGCTGAGAAGCACAGCCGACAGAACGGAAAACAGAATGGCCTAGCTCACAAAGATATTGCAGTTCGTTTTGTGAACTACCTCTGGGACTCGCTCGCTGGATTTCGTGCCGACCGGTTGTGCCCCCGCGATCTCTGACGACAGCGCAGCTCTGGCCGGCTGGCTCACCCTATGCCATCTTCTGGTGCCGACAAGAGCTCTCGCTGAGTGGTGTCCCGTCCTCTGACTTCACCATGTTCATCTCTCCTATCTCCTTCTTAATTCCGTATGTGGCTGTCCCTGCGCTTCTTTCTCCTCCCCGATCCTCTCTCTATCTCTACACCTTTAATTCCTATCCTTTTTAATCCCTCCTTACCCCCATCCCTCGTGAGCTACTGTTGAGGTGTCCTCCCCCTGAGAGACAGTTGCGGGGCTCACTTTTCTCTTCTTTTCATTAAAGAATCACCTCCCCCGCGCACTGCCTCTGCACGGCTAGGTCGTATAGTTAGTTCTGTCTGAAAGTTTCTATCTGTTCAAGGAAAGTTACGCTTGAGCATTTAATCAGAGCGAAATCGAACAGCGCTTTTCACGGTATGTAGTGAGAGCGACAAAGAGTCCATCTTTATTGCAAGTCAATTTCAATACACGGGCAGGAATCGGCATCTCACTTAGTTTTTTTTTTTTTAGATGCGGAGCATCTTATACTCGCGCCTTGTAGTGCGCCGTCCGCGCCATCCGCGCCATCCGCACCGCTTCTCGAACATTCGACAGCTGACGCGCGCGCATGCGCCGTCGCGCCGTCGCCCACTCTTCCACCATCTGTGCATCCCTTCCTCCTCTACACACCGCGCGCGCTTCACTCCTCCACCATCTGTGCACCCTTCCTCCTCTACACACCGCGTTCGACATCTACAATTCTCCTGATTCTCCAGTGGACGCGCATGTGGCGTCGCGCTTCGAGAACATTCAACAGCTGACAGTGCATGCGCCGTCGTGCTGTATATATACTCAAGGTCGGCGCTTGCTCGCTCAGTTGCCGCTCATCGGTTGGTTTGTACGGCGCGTCGACGTCCAAGTTCGCGGTGAAATGAATTCCAACGAATCCACAAACACAATGATCGACGTCCCTTCGACCAGCGCCGCCCTTTCGCATACGTGTGTACGTGTTCACTCATTTAACACCCCCTCCTACAACCACGTTAACCAATTTAGCCATCGACCCAAGTAAGTCGCAATTTAACACCCCATTTCACAACCACGTTAACCAATTTAGCCATCGACCCAAGTAAGTCGCACTTTAACACCCTGTTAACCAATTATATGGTCCGCATCCTCCTCAGTGTTCCCCCGAGGGAAGCTGCGGGCAATTTTTTTTCTGAACTGTTCCGTGTTCCAACGAAAACTTTGCAACCCAGCACCAGAACCTTCGATTCGCGCGTCTGGTGCATTTGAGATCTCACACCAGACGGGTTACTGAAATTAAATGCACACAAATGAAAAAAATTGGACGAGGGAACGACTATTCTCGTGGCTCGATCGTCAGGTGCTTCATTCGAATGTAGCTGATTCTGTGCAACCGACAGCAAACTGTCTTTCCGCGCACTTTATTTTCCTCTCCATTTAGGTGCACTTGAAACCAACTAATAATGGGCCCTCTATTACGCTTTCTTTAAATTCATTGTTCGTTGGCCTCACTACAGTGAAGGAGTGCGAATATTGCCCTCTCTAGTGACTGAATGTCTCGAACGGGGTGTGAATTGCAATGCATAATCATGTTGGAATGCATATCCCATTTATTTGCGAATGTAACGCTGCCTTTCATTCCTATATACGTATGTGGATCTATGAATATCAATATATTTTTTGTCCTTATTTGTCGTTTTGACACTCTCATAACACTCAGGCGCGTAGCCAGGAGTGTTTTTTTTTCAGGGGAGAGAGGGAGGGGCACTTTTTTTATTTTGGGGAAGGTACCCCCATGACATGGTCATTTCTCGCTCTTCATGTCATGTCAAAAAAAATTTCGGGAGAGGGGGGGGGCGGGGGCAAGAGCCAGGTGGGCCACCCCCTGGCTACGCCCCTGATAACACGTCATAGAGAGTGTTCCATTGCTGTTCTTCTTTTCCTTCCTTACTTTTCTATACCCCTTCCCAATATTCTTTATCGTGTCATTTCCCCGCGGCTGGTAGTCGCAAGCCAGATATTTGGTGTTTACCTCCGTGCCTTTCACTGAACAATATATATATATAGATATATATATATATATACATATATATATATATATATATATATATATAATATATATATATATATATATATATATATATATATAATATATATATTATATATATATACTTTCACGTGAGTTAGCTTTTTTTCTATACGCAATTTACAACGTTTTTTTTTTGTTTTTGTTCTAAACTTTTCCGGTCCATTCTCATCATTAACCACTAAGCTCTGTATATACATAATGTTATAATTAAGGATGAAAGTGTAAATTTAAGAGCGCCTTTTTTACAGCGAAAACTGTTGTGAGATCAAAACTCGGGTCACGCGCGGCCGCCGTGTCAGTAACCATTATCGCGAAGTGAGAAAAAAAAGACAGCACCAAAGACACCGCGGGGCTCAAACCCAGGTCCGCTGCGTGCCAACCCAGTATAGGGTGTCTCGATGCGCGTGCCCCCGCTCGGAGTGCTCCCACCTTTTGTACTGCTCCCATTGCCATTGTAGTGTCTGCCGCATCTTCGTCAAGCTGTAGAGCTCACGTGTCGGCTTTGTTCGGTATGTTATGCCTGTACGTTCAGTCACTCAGGTCTACAACCATTCGCGTTAAGCTAGTGGGCCACTACGCACCAGAGCGACCCCGGTAGGCAACGGGAGTGGAAATGGCGGCCGCAGCAGATGTCTTCACTCTGAGTGGAGGAGCAGGCGTCGAGGCACCCTATCCCACTATTCTACCACTTAGTCACGCCAATGCATGGACCTTGTTCGCAAACTTGCCTTAGGCAGGCTTGATTTCGCAAAAGGAATCACGTTAATATGAGTAATAAAGCGTTGTAGAACAGCAAAAGAACAACGAGGCGTCAAACATTGCGAATAGCGTAACCAGTGGGTCGTCCAATACCCCAATCCATTACAAAAGCTTGCTTTTCATCACCTGTTAACAGTGGCGCATACCTCCTACAGCCATAATTTCTCATCATCGTCAGCCACTGCATGAACGATTGGAACAAAATTTCTTGCACTTGTTTAGCGGATACAACGCTTCTCAGAAAAATGACGAGAAATAGCATAGCGAATAATCGTCTACTACCCAGAAATTATTATTAATGTCATAGTGGGTACCCAACAAGTGTGCTTGCAGCAGTTATCCAATGAGTGTTTAAAAAAGGCTCTGCAAGGCCGATCTTCTGGCTTTCGCTGTGACTGTGATGTTTCCGTTCACTAGCGCATTCCTCCCGATCAGACGGCCCCTCCTGGCACTGGCGGTTCGGTGTGGGGCAAAAAGAGCTTTTCAGGAAGTCTAAGCCTTTAACTACTCGGGGTCCCGTAAACAATTCGTCGTAGAAGGACGGGGGCCGCGTATTGTGGCAGAGGCTGGTCAGTGGGCATTTTAGGAAGTTCTAAGCCTTTAACTACTCCGCGCCCTGTCAACATTTCGTCGTAAAAATAGGGGTGCCCCGTATTGCGGTAGGCTGTGCAAGCGCGTGCAATGCGAATTCCTGGCCTGCTTCTAAATTACGCGTGTCGTGGGGCGTCCCGGCTGTGCACATGGTTGCTGTTGGGCATGTCGTGCATGGCACAATTGATTGGGTAGTAAAATAAAACAGAAAACAGAAAACAGACGACAGCTGCGACAGCTGTCGTCTGTTTTCTGTTTTATTTTACTACCCAATCAATTGTGCCATGCACGACATGCCCAACAGCAACCATGTGCACAGCCGGGAGGCCCCCACGACACGCGTAATTTAGAAGCGGGCCAGGAATTCGCATTGCACGCGCTTGCACAGCCTACCGCAATACGGGGCACCCCTATTTTTACGACGAAATGTTGACAGGGCGCGGAGTAGTTAAAGGCTTAGAACTTCCTAAATGCCCACTGACCAGCCTCTGCCACAATACGCGGCCCCCGTCCTTCTACGACGAATTGTTTACGGGACCCCGAGTAGTTATAGGCTTAGGACTTCCTGAAAAGCTCTTTTTTGCCCCACACCGAACCGCCAGTGCCAGGAGGGGCCGTCTGATCGGGAGGAATGCGCTAGTGAACGGAAACATACACAGACCGCTGACATCAGAAAGGTGAAGGGGAGAGGGGGGAGAGAGATGGGGGGAGTGGAGGGAAAAGTGGAAGGGGGGCACCCGAGGGGCGTTCACCGTATATTATTTTTCTCTTTTTTCTTTTTTTCTTTCCTTTTCTTTTCTTTTTTTCTTTCCTTTTTTTCCCTCTTACCTTGCCCTCTGATTGAGATTGTATAAAGCTGAGCACCGACAAACTGATCTTTATTCTGATGAAGGCCAGGACTCTAGGCCGAAACGTCGAAATAAACCACGTTGTGACCGCTCACGGAGGATCTACTAGACTATATATATATATATATATATAATATTATATAATATATATATATATATATATATATATATATATATATATATATATATATATATATATATATATATATATTGCAACGAGCAAGGTTGCGTAAAAACACAGGTTATTATTCCAGAAACGTTAGCCGCAACAAGCTGGTACAGGCAGGAACCCGGCAAGCACGAGCCACACACGGACGTCAACGTCTTCTTTCACGCTGGCACAGAGCTGGCGCCACTATGCTTCGGTACAATTACTCCCCGCGCAGAAAGGAGCCAACCTGGCGACCTAGGGAAAGGACACGACAAGGGGGTCATAGCACGGTTTGAGGCGTGATACGTGTACTGTTTCACGCCCACGGCAGCGTT